TATTAGAGCAAATTGAAAAATTTCTTCTGATTTGGATTTCAGAAAAACAGTGTGCTGGCCATAATGTATCGAAATATTTAGAGTTAGCCGTGGTTGGTTTGATAATTTTAAGAAGAGGACTGGTATTCACAGTGTTGTGAGGCATGGAGAAAGATGTCGCCAATGATGTTGTTAAAGAGTTTGGGGATTTTGAAACTGGTAGTTTTGTTCCCCAACAAGCTTTTTATTGCGATGAAATGAAGGCCAGGCTAACTTTCTTGTTTTGTGGCAATTCAAGTGGGGATTGCAACCTGAATCCACTACTGAGCTACCACTCTGAAACCCGAGGACTTCAGAAATATAAAGTGTAGAAAACCGAGAGAGTCGTGTAATATTGTGTTTGGGCCAAGTGTAAAAAGTTATTTATGAGCAGATGAGAAAAATCTATCTCTGAAGGTCCTCCTCATAATGGAAAATGTTTCACCCCATTTTTAAGCTTACAGGACTCTGGGGTTCCGGATTTAGACTTCATCACTATAAAGTTTATCCCTTCTCTCATTCAGCCCATGCAGCAGCAGGTCATTAGTAATCTCAAGAAATGCTACACTAAAGCACTATTTCAGAGATGCTTTGAAGTGACCTCTGACCAAAAATTTAACCCTGAGAGAGTTTTGGGAAGATCATAACTCTAATTGACTGGGGTTCTGCCTATAGTGGAAGATATTTTCTACCTCGGCACGTCCATGGGACTGTGCTGTGGAGTTACTGGAGGGGCACAGGGAAGAGAGTAACTCCAGGAACTTGAGAAGTAGGAGCACAAGACTAGGATGGAGGCACTCTCTTCAGGGTGGCGGAAGGAGAAAAGAGAGGAAGCTCCTACTTCATTAATGAAACGAATTTTTGCTAAATAGATGAGCGTCAAAAACTTTGCAGAGAAGTACACCCCAACAAAGCTCAAACTAGTTGTGGGGAATGACCATATTCGGAGATTTCTGGAACATTCTGAGGAGACAGACGCAAAGTTATTTGGACAGATTTTTAGTAAAAGTCAAATTTGATGAGCCTTAACCAGGTCCAAGTAGGAAAAAGAAACAGAAAAGAGAAAGAGGAAAAACACCAGAATGTCTGATTGCTTCCAGTTTTATTGGAAGACGACTTCATTTTCAAAGAATAATGTCTCGTCCTCATCAATCCACTCTCTTTATTTCACTAAATTGTTTTTTGTTGATGTATTTTAGTATTAAAGAGTGTTTGAATTATTTTATACAACGTCCTCGATATTCAAAATAAATGTAATACGCCAAGGACAATATGATTTTTTTCAACATGGTAACGGATTAGTCATTTCCTGATTATTTTTTATGAGAAAAATTTGTTTGGTATACGTTCTGTTTGCTATAAGTCCAACGATCTGGAATGGGTTAACGATGTGTATATCGAAGTACCACTGTATACGTATAATATAAAACTCTGTGTGGTTAGCTAAAAGTAGGTAATAAATATTTAAGAAAAAAAAACACAATTTTCAAAAGAATATTCATCGCATAGGTACTAACTTTTTAGCACAATCACCGTCGTTATAAAACAGTCTTAAAACCTATTGTTTCGTCATCACGACATCTGTAATAGTGTATAGTACGTATTACATTCTGACTAAGAGATATAATTTGATTTGAAAAAAGTATATGCTTTGTTGCCATTAACAGATAAATCAACAACATTTTATACACTATTTTCAGCTTATGTCAGCGGTTTCAATTGCACTGCTGACGTAGTGCAAAAATCCCACAACATTATGTTCTAAGCAATAAAGTGTCTGAGAATTAACCTTTCAGCTCTCTAATTTGCGAGCGACAACAAATCATTTTGGCTTTTCTTTCTAAAAACACGTAAGGTTTTATTACAGTATAAGCGCAAAAAATATAGGTTTGCGTCACGACGCCGACGCCATATGCGCGTTAAATTTGGAATGTTGGAATGTACTAAATTAAAGTTACCGCTTCAATTTAAAAACAACGGCGGTTACAGAATTTCGTTTCTTTATCCGCTTCCAAGATGTATGGTGCGGAGTTTTATTTGGGACACCCTGCACATGTTTTAAAATATACATAAGGGCTTTAATACTAAAGTATTGAACAAATCTAGCTCTATCTAAAGAAAAACATTTTCAGATTAGTTATCAAGTTATTTATATCCAATTTTAGGAAAAATATTAATTCGTGTAAAAATTAAACACGCGACTTGATAATAGTATTGAGTTAAAAATGTGTACGGTACACAGTTAAGAATTTATTAAACGATTAACTAACGATTAGGATATACGTATTCGTTGAATCTAATTTAGTCATCTATAAAAAATCGTCAAATGTGTGGGGCGAAAAAGGAATTTTCCCTTGTATAGGTATGATTCAGGATTTCTGTCCAATGATTAAACATCAAAGCCCTTTTCAGTTGTAAAATTCATGCGGACGCCTGAAGTAAACTAAAACATATTCACCGCCCCTGCAGAAAAGGGTTTCTACAATTTTGTGCAAATATCAAGAAGTTTGATGTTGTACAGCGAGTGTCGATCCCAAGGGATCAAAACAGAGAGTGGTAAATTGTACGATGAATAGTAGGGCATTTCCGTTTTGGAAAGGATGATTAATCTTTCAAGAGTTGTGGTGATTTTACATGCTAAATATATTACTAGATGAGAAGCTTACGATTCTTTTGTTGAATATTACATTTTTCATGCATTAAAGTGCTTGCGGAAAAAATACCCGAAAATTTATGATCTTGAGTTAATTCCATTATTCTGTGGAAATAAACAAATATTTAGCTACTTAGGTTTAAAGTGGAAATTCAAGATGCGCTTTTATATAAAATTTCTTGAAAATTACATTTTGGTTTTATTACGATCTAGAGTGATTTCCTTTTAATCAGTCTTTTTGCCACTGTAAAAGTGATAAAACAACGGTCGACGGAAATAACGCAGAATGTATGAGTGAGCGAAATTTAATAAATTAAGCAAACATTGATGGTAGCGGCGACACGAGAAGAGAATTTTTTAGGTTGTGCTTTTGTGATAAAAATTATTATGTCGATGCTCTATATGTGTTGTTGTTGTTGTCTGATTCTTAGGAACCATATAATTATTTTTTGTAGATTACTCAAAACGGACACTTACTTTTGTTTTGTTAACAGTCTATAAATTTTATATATATTTATCTACACATCATGATATGTTAATGTACTTCCTAAGTAACAAATATAGTATAATAATTCAATATTTCTCTAAAAGCTCTTATTGGGGTCCTAACTCTAGATTTTTCTGGTTAATTTCATTAATGTCATACGAAGTAGTAAAACTATAGAAAATGAACTTTCAGAACAACAGTTTCCTTTGTACACAATGAAGAAGTAACTTATTAAAAATCTTAATAAAATTAAGAAAAATGTCGATCTGAATGCCTATTTGGTTGATTGTTTGATACTTTATCATTAGAAAATTTGAACCGAGCTTTTACCATTTTATTTTTTAATACGAATTTTCGACTATATAACTTGTTTCGGCGGAAGAATTAAACATATCTGCTACAGTTTACACTCACAACGTAATGGAAGTGGTGACAACAAAATTCATAATTCATGAAAAACAAAAAAGCAAAAGAATCGACCAAAATGATGATTTTAGGTACAAGCTTGGTCCACGACGAATAGATTCACCACATTATACGTATGCTAAGGATACATTCTTATGAAGTACAAAAATGCTACATAATACAACAATTGATTATCTACTGTCAGTTGTAAATACAATGAGCTTTGTTAGCTAAGCATAACTATGATACAACTAAACATTACTTCATGCTAGACATGGATCAAGTAAAGGCCAATTTCATATAAAATGATAACAAGATTAGCATTAGTTAGTAGTAGAGTATCACAGAGATGTAGATCAAGGACAACATACGAGCCAAGAACACCGATTACATCGATTACATCTTAATCAACAGACAACGAGTTTATAATAACTGGGAAAGTCAATATTTTGCGATTTATCGAGGGCACAGTTTTAATTAGAAATTCGATTCGTCTATGGAGCCATTAAAACGGGGTACGCTCATTTGCTCGTTATCTCGATTCTCTATTATTTGTACAATTTATACATTATACCCATCTATACCATGCGGAAGGACTATTTTTACGCTCTGACAAAACTTAATCGATTTGTGTTTAAGTTTCTGTAACATTAGCAGCATCTCTTCTAAAATTTATTGTGCATGTGTACGCTCTTATGAAGCATTGCATCTAGTCTGAAAAAAACAGACGATTTGTTTGCAAATTGGTGCAATTGTATACTATGGTGTTTACATCTATATCTATTTAAATCAACAAGTGCAATTAGAAACTAGTTTCTGGTTTCTAAACACTATTCCATCTCTCTACAAACAATAAAATCGTTCTCTAAAAATATGGTAATATTTTGGTGCATTTCAGTGTTCAAGAGTGTATGTTACCTGATAAGTTAGTTCTTAGTTAACTCGTCTACATTTGAAAATTTTTTAGATTCCATTTAATGATAAAATTTTATTTTTTATGAATCATATAAGTTAAGTGGGCGAAAAAAAAACAATCGAACTCATACGCCCGAATAAATTTAATGATTTTGTTTGAAGTTTTCGCAACAAATAAATTTACGTGTCACTTGTTTATACAAGAACCTTTTTTATTTTAACAGCAGAAATTATGTTCAATGAGTTGAAAGTATTATAAAAAACACTCAATAACTTGCAGTGGAACTTTCTAATTTCAGCTAAAAATTTTAAAAACAATTTTAATAAAACGAGTAAGAACGTAACTTTCATGAAAGTTGGATTGGTCAAATTCCCTTAGCGATGAACAAATTTTTTTAAGTTTGCAGAAGGTTTGAAATGTAAATTTTTACTTTAGTTTAAGACTTTAGTGACAGTTAGAGTTATTTATATTTAAATCTGCTATGACATTATTTAAAGTCTGAATGGAAAATGTTTTTATACCGGCGTTTTAGGAAGTTTCCGTCTTGTCGGCGATGAAGGCGTTTTTTCATTTTCTGGTTCTGTAAAATAAAAGCATACATAGTGTTAGTATTATACATAGTTGTAATGATGAACACAGTGAATTTCATTCCAAATTAATATTATTCTCACCACAAACTTTGACATTAAATGGGATGGAAGTAATTTCCATCTTCGTTAATTGAATGAATACTTAGTTACACACTAAGATTAACGACTGAATTAATTCATACAGGGTGTTACGCAATGATACCAACAAGGTTTCAAGGTAGATTCAAATGAATCCATTTTTGGTTATAATACAATGCATATTCTGTACTCTCTTTTGTTTTCTTGAAGTTACAATCTATGCTGTTAAGTTTAATAACTTACGACGTCGGTGAACATGCTTTAATAAAGTTCGGTGTATCAAATTTACTTTAAAAGACAAACTGATACTTGCTGGCAAAAGTAGGCAGTAAATGGAATATAAAGTAGTATGATTATAATCACTTTTCTCAAATTGACACATCTTTATTTAGTTTTGTTCATGTAGAAACAGTATATTTTTTCATTGGGCATAAAATTGTTAATTTTTGTGTCGAATCTGTGGAGTTTGACGGACGAAACTTGGTGGGTTTGGCAACTATAAACGAGCCATAAAAAGTCAGTTTTACTCCGAATAAAACATGCTGTTTTTTCTCTAAACGTCCAAAATAGATTGCTGGTTTTCTATTTTAATCACCGAAAATGTTAATTAATGATAATGATATTTTGGGAGGGTTAGTGTGATGACGAAATAAAAACAAAAATAGTCGAAATCGTTTGCAGGCGACTTGTGACTATTTTTCTCTGCTTGTTTTGTTAGTTACGTTATTACCACTAAATTATTTGTTACAGCTGTGCACCACCCGGTTCTGAGTTTCGTACAACATTCATTATGTTGTCGAAATTGCTTAAGTTGTTGTTCGGAATCTAGTGGCGACCACTTTGGTATTATTTATGAAAGTTGCTATCACAATTTATTAAATAGTGTACACAATTATCCTAAAAATGCATTACTGGTTTATATTGACGTAGACAATTTCATTGATTTTGCTGTCAGCGGTTATTTTTATTGCCGTTGATTGTTACAAAGTACTTAATTTTAATGCTGATGGCTTAAAAGTAAAACTTTAGATCCGTAAAGTTATGAAATGTTACATTTTCTAATAGCTGCACAAATTATTTTAACTGTTGCATATTAAATGCATATTAAAGAATAAATTACTTGTTTGAATGTTGCATGTTTGACGTGATTCCTTTAATTTCACACTTCGTAATGTATCTGTGAATTCTGTTTTTCTTATAATTACTCGGTAACAGTTTCAACTTTCGTGACTAGTATTTGGAAATTTTTGCTAAAAACATTTTTTTTATTCGTCAGCTACATACTTGTTGGTATCACTCCCTAACACGTCGTGTTTGATGAAAACGTTTCGACAGGTCAAGTGTTTTTTATGGGATACATTTTAGAAAATTGATTGATTGGTACTGTCAAAGTTATAATATCATTTATAATTAGAATAAAAAGCTGTTAAATTTGCATTACAGTCAAAATGTAAGAAAACCGATAGTCAAAAATATTACGCTTGTGTGCAAATATCTGAAGCATTTAAATGTTTTTGTGCACTAAATTTTAACAATTTTTAAATTTTATAGTTGACGTTTTTCAAATTTTTGGCGTGGTCAACAACTTATTCAGAAAAATAATGTAAAAATAGTGCTACATTTAAAAATCTTAATTTGTTTGTAAAATATATCCCGACTGAAAAACCTTTATTATTATTAGATAAAATCTGAAGTACAAAATATGTAGCGAATTTCAGTGCATTTCCATGATCTTACTGGATATTACTGGACCATCGGATTTTTTAAATGTATAGAAAAATAATTGTATTAAATTAGACAGGATTTAATTGCTCAATATTCAAAGTTTGTGGAAGACCATATTTATCTGAAACGAAAGAGTAGTTACTTCATGTATCTACCAGTCAAACACCCAGTCTAATTCTCAAATTATATATTAAACGAAATGAAAATTAGTATGCGAAAATGTCGTAGCAGTTGAACAAAAATGTAAATCGAAGTGATTAGAATGCGAACTAAAGCAGACGAACACACCAAAATAACTTTAAGAAAAACATTGTCGTTTCCTCTCGCCCTCATTCTCATGATATGTATTTGTACCGAGAGCGCAATAAATAACACGATCAAGAAGAGCCATGTATTTTTGAAGTTTGTCTTTGATTGTTCCATTTTCATTTAAACTTTCTGCCAAGACGCAAATTCTATCTAAAAAAAATCTTCAAAAATCCTGGCTGTGATCGTGTTTTTATTGCTCTCCCGTTTAGTTATTTTTGCTGTAATAAACACATTGTGCAGGTTTATTTTAAACTTAGACTTTACGAAAATATAAAAATGTAGATATTAATCAAAAATATTTTTTTTTATTAAAATAAGCAGATCAGTTGTTAAGGCTTTTAGTGCATCAACAGCTATAATAAGTATTATATTGTGTGGTATATGTATACTATGGTCTGGAGATTGCGAAGTAGGTTGGTTGGTGGTATTTTCTAGTGTTTATTGGGGTAAGAGTATCGGAAAGAGTCGGTGAAAGACGATTAGTTAGAAAAAAGTATTGTATTTCCATGATTTTCATTATTTTTCACACAAAATTGATGATTATTGGAATTAGGGGATTTTTTAGGTTATGAGTTGAGAAAGATTGTTATGTGAACTATTTAGTGACAAAAAGATAGATTTTTCTTTAAATTTATTCCAAATGTAAGCAGTACAATAGGAAAGGAACAACAATGAAAAAGACGGAAAGAAGAGGTTAAAGAAGCGGTAGAGGCGACAAATGTGAAATGGGAGAAAGTGAATAGGTTGGCCCAAAATAGAAAAGTATGAAAATTTAGCAATATGAAATCATGAAATGAAGTAACTAAAAAGTTAATTTGATTTGTATTTTTCCCTTTCAAAGGAAACCCATTTGAAACCCGGTAGAAAAAGTTACAGAAAACAGATGTTTAGCTCAAAAGTAAATTGGAAATATTGTGCACAATTAAGCTACATTTACAATGGAAATAACTAAAGTCATAACTGAAATCTTGTGCAAATTTAATATTGCCTTCATGCAAATGGGACAATTGTAGATATTTGGAAACTGTGTTTTGATATATTTGTGTTAAGTTGCTTGTGCTAATATTATTGTTATTATTATACATGAGTTGTTCACACGGGAGTAGTCCCGGTAGCTGTAAATTTTATGTAGAAGGTGTCGGCACATTTGCATTTCATAAAACCTCTTGAGTTTTGAATCCATAAACATTTCAATTTTGTGTATTTGTAAAGAATACAATAATTTAAAAATACAGGACCTTAACTCCCTGCAGGAAAAGCAATAAATGTATTAAGCACCCTGGCAAGGAAGGATAACACGCATTGGTGGAGGCGCCGGGTACTTTCTCTTTTGTAGGTAATAGCTGAGAAGGTCGCAGAAACTATAGTTTCTAATTGTTTAATATGCTTTATCAACAGTTCTAGATACCTCTTGACTAATACAACAGTGTAACACAATTACTCTCTAATAGTGGCTTTTCTAGAAACTACGATAAAGCACTGACCAGAATATGACCACTAGTTGTTTTTTCCACTCCAGAATCGTAATACTAATAAATAACGATGGGGAGTAGAGCCGAAGTAATATCAGTGTTGCTAATATCTTTGACCCATTCTGCTTTACGCCACACCCACTTGACCCAGGCAATTGCGCCACCTCTCAAATTGCCCCACATTTCGAAAAAAACTTTGGCTTGGGTTTCAGTTTTTAATGAGCTAATTATGCCGCAACTGACAGGACGACCATGACGGATTGTATAAGCCACATTAAGAGTTCACACAACGCTGCATCATGCTGCAGTTTGGTCGGAACGCCGGAAAGAGGGATAGCAGATGATCACATACTGCGTTTTTGTTGTTGCGGTGGATACACTTATTTTTTAATAAATCATAACCAGAGCGCGGACATCGTGGAGTAATCTATAAGCGTGCATGCCTTGCGCTGCTGGGAGTTTACGTTGACGGTTATTTGAAGCAAAATACGATCTGCTTAACTTGTTCCTGCCAAATCGCCCCGGCTTCATGTAATCATGCATCCAGCAAAAACAAAATGTATGGTTGGAGCCGATGTGTCCGTGAAACGCGATGCATGATCCTAGTTTTAGCGAACCGCTAGATGTGACTTTTTGGTTAATGTGTTAAGGTAAACTTAGACATTTTGAGAAAACAGGAAATACTATAGATGCGAATAGTGAAGTGCAACAGTTGAAATAGAACTTTGATTTACACACAGAGAAACTTTTTTCAGATAAGGAAATGTTTCATATTGGTCAATAAATGTCACTTTCCCAAACACACGTTAAAAGTCAGGAAGAAATTTGACAGCAACGTTTGAAGCCATATCCTTCCTGGAGTATGTTAAAATCCCACTAGTTTTAGTTTTAGTCTTATCGGGTTTTAAGGGGCATTGTAGACCCGTATTTGGTCTCCTGTGAAACCTATATATTATTTAATATCAAACTTAATTCGTTGCTCGCGGACTTGCAGTTTTTCGTGTTCGATTTTTTTTTTGTTTCATTTGAACCATTACTCTTTTTATTCAAAACTTTGAATACCAGGCAGTGAAACTAATGGATGCGGGAAAGAGGAGTCTTGAAAAACAAAAAATCACATTCGTTTTTTTGTTATACTATTAAATTGGTAGACAGTGGTCATTGTTCTCTCCCTCTCGATGACTTAATTTCTGATTGAGGTGTCGATATTATAACACTGAAATGAAAAAAGGGTGCTTATGTATAATTGGGCGCGGAAGGTCACATTGAGGGACTATTGAAAAGAAAATCAATATTGGACCAAGAATTATAACAGTAAAGAACACTGTAACTTCTGTGATTCCACCCGTCTGTTAATCTGTCGATTCGGGAATTCTACTCGGGTCGTTAACGGTGTGGACAAAGTTCCTGTACCCTGTATCCCCGTAGGGCATCTTTTTAAAGGTGTTTTCAGAACAGTTGTTTAGGTTTAGGTCTGGCAGGACTACTAATCCTGTGCAATAATCACGTTCTTTGTAAATCTCTCAACCTGATCCTTCCATTTTTTTTGTCTTTTGTCATTTGTTTATGTCATGTGATGTTTGTTTTTCTTTGACCATTTTTAATTGAATAGTTTTTTCCTATGAGTGGTAATCATGAACAACTGTTTTTCAATAATAAATATAATGTAGAAAAAATTGGTCGAAAGTTGTTTCGACAGAACTTCCCTCGCTCCTAAAGTATACATTCTCGAGTGTTTATTTATCTTAATACATCGAACGAATGTCACGTAGAAATTAGTTTGATTTGAATTAAACCACAGTCGAACAAGATGATCTGAATACATATTACAATTCTTTTTTATTATTACTATGTATAAAGACGAGTTTTTCGCATTTTCGAGGAAATAGGGTGACTCGTTCTTAATTTTACCAATAAGAAATTGGTAATGAAGTCATTAACGTGGATAATACTAGTCACAGTACAAAAGAAAAATAGTCGCAGCGTATTACCAATGCAAGAAAAAAAAAGTAAGCGGCCAAGTTCGGCATCGAACCACTACCGCAATGTGGCACGGATTCGTTGAACGTCCCGTTAATATAGGCGTTATTGAACCTTGAAATTATTTTTGCGAAATTTTGAACGTTTAGCGAAAAAACTGAAAGCGGATTCGTACAATACAAGTATAGGAGTATATTTTTATATAACATTAAAAATATTTTAAAATACAATTAAATGAATTGACGTCATCAAATTGTTGGTGGGGATGATTATCCAAATTTTGGGTAGTATTTAACCATCTACGTGATATTTCTAATATACATACAAAATTTGGCAACAATCGGTCCAGCAGTTTCGGAGATTACTTGTCTAATGAATCCGTGTTGAGTTTTTAGTCGATACATCCATATTTTTGGAAAAAAATCAAAATTTAATTTTGAATCGGCAAAACCAAATTCTTTAAAATCTTGCAGACGTTTTAATGTTATCGTAAGCATCGTAAATTTTTAATCAAAATATATTTGTTTATCCCCTCCAAATTAATGCCGTCTAAAATGTGCAAAATATGATATACTACATTAATTTTTTTTAATTGCTTATACAGGGTGGCTCAAAAAAAAATTAATGAATGACTCAGTCTTTTACTGACTAAATCAGGAACTGCGAAATCGAATGCTTTGAAATCTTGCAGACGTTCTAATTTAAAGTTATCATAAGCATGCTAAATTTTTATTACACTGCATCTATCCAAATTGATATTCGTGCCCTTGCAAAAAATGGTTATTGCTTATAGGGTTTTTTTATAAAAAATAAAATTGACAAAATTAAATTTTACTCTCATAATTTTTCGAAAAAGCTGCATATGTTTTATTGTAGTTCAGGGGTGATGGATGTTCTGTTTAAGTAACCTTCGGCGAATTCTTTCATACTTTAGCAGGGGTTCTTAAAGTTGAATTGTTACGATTAAGTTGAAAAGATTGACTTATTAATGGCAGTAGAAAAAAATATTGTATGTTAAAACGACATAACTCATTACATATAAGGAATTCACGTTCGGTAGATGTAACTAGATTTGGTAACTTTTTTTTTTAAGCTGTGTAACTGCGGACATAATTGTTCTAGTGTATAATGTATCGGAAAGTAGGTATCAAAAATGTGACATGTAAGTAAGTAAATGTCAAACATCGAAAATGTGATGGTTTTGTGGTAATCTGCTGAATCTATTTTTGAATCAAGGAGAAAATCACATCCCTCTAAAAGTCCAAAGAGGAACCCGCATGTAAAATTGTGAATCTTTTCCCTTCACTAGTTTTTTTAGCAGGACAAGATTTGATGTCATCATCATGAATCCACAATTTTACCATAGATCCGTTTTGATATATCCATGTCTCATCCAAGGAAAAGAAAAGTAAATCTTCATCACTATCACGCAATTGGAGATACCGCCTTAGAAATTTGATTGTGGGAGCGTGGTAGCTATAACGTGTTTAAAATGTGAAAAACTTTGCCTTCGGAAACCTAAATTTATACGTGTATTACGTACAATTATTCTCAAAGCCGAATGTTTTCCCTCTTACAAAACAATAACGATTATATAAAACTTAAAAACCAATTGTAGAGCGGAACCAACAAAGCATGTAGGTATATAAATCTGCGCAGTCGTCTTTCTGATTCTGATTATAATATTAACGGCACCGGCGCCATTGTATCGGTATTATTTTAAAATTCGAAAATCACTCGTCAACATCAGCGAACTTTACGGAAAATATTTCTGCCACCAGTTTAACTGTTTCCGTTTTACCCAAACGTTGTCCATTTTTCTCTGTAATTTTTTGATAACCACGAAATATTTCTTGTCTCTTTTCCTTTAAAATGGGCTTTCTTGTGACTACTTTTGTGGAAATTGTTTCCATGCTGTATTTAAAGATTTTCTCGAAACGAAGCGTGTTGAAACTAGAAAAACTGTGTTTTTTCCACACAAGTCAGATTTGACATTTGAATTAGAAAATTAGACAGTTGATGCCAATCTTTAGTTTCTAGTGATCTTAAGATTGCAACTTAACCACAGAAAAGTTTCTGTCAGCTACTTCTACCGAACGTGAATGCTTATTAAGTATATAGCTCGACCTTCTTTCTCACACCGTATTTATATTCATTTTTTTCGTTTTCGAACCTTAAGTTAATATGTAATTATTAGGAGAAGTAAATATTACAATAACTCGATGACGTACTGCTAAAAACAGAGTCTAAACAGAGTTTATTTTAGTGTTCTTCAAAATGAGAAACTGTTTAAGCCACGAAGACTCATTGTTGATAATTTTATTTAATCCGATCTTAGAAAAGTAATAAGGAGTTGTAAAATAAAAACCTAGAAACAGACTTTTTTAAACATGTGTCGACAAAGTGAATTGTAGTTAGCTGAAGCGTAGAACTTAAACAAAGCAGAAGAAATACCTCTTGGTTTTTGGGGAATGGAAAAAGTTGCATTTAATAAAAAGCGAGTTAGGAGAATAGAGGGTAAACGAAGACAAAATTGAGACGAGAAAAAAAGAACAGTAGGGAGACCTATTTAAGGCAGATCATTCGAAGTGGAAGAAAATTGGAGAACAACGAAATGTATATGCAAAGTCAACGACCTAGAAGATCCGAAGAACTAATAGTGTATAAAATTGTAGGTATAAAGTTTTTTACAAAACTGTATTCATAATTTAAACTTTTTTTCTATGATGGTGTTTGGCTGGTAACAGTGTCAGTAATAACCCCAACAGGCGGTAAACGACTCACCGACATGTAGCGCCGTTATCGCAGCATCTGAAGGTTTCCGTCCGACATTGGGAGGGATGGGGTCGTCTAGAAGGTCGCACATTCTCAGGTCGGTCGCGTGTTCGACCAGAAGTTCGACCATGTCACCTGTGCGGTCCATTATGGAACATACTTCCTCAAACGAACGGTCGATGAGAGAAACGCCTCCCCATTCAAGCACTTTATCGCCCTGTTGTAAGCCTCCCTTCTCGGCAGGACCGCCAGGGACGGTCCATACAATGTAGGCGAAAAGACGACCATCAGGTGCTGTTTTGCCGCCCACTACGCGCATTCCGAACCCTCGAGCTGGAAGAAAAAACAACGATTCACCAACACTGAGGAAGTTTTAGCCACCTAAAAGACTTAAATAAATAAGCGAGACCGCATCTATTTCGGTTAGTTGGACGTTAAATGTTCGCTGGAGACGGACCATAATAGGTAAACGTTTGGCGAAGTCTTTAAGTATATTAGAAAGGAACAACTAAGTTCAGATGTCGCTGATTTCAATTCTCTGGGAATATTTAGACATTTTAGACAAATTTAATTTTATGGATTAGCAGTCGACGTTAAGTTTGTTGTATGTTTAGTCGATGTAGTTTAAGAAAGTTTTCGTTTATATTTATTTGTAGTTAGGAGCAGTGCGTCCTTAGGAGTTTAAGAATTCCGAAGCGAATTCACATTGGCTTTAGACACTAATGATATAAATCAAGGATCGGCAACTTGTGCCCTCCAAATACCTGTTGTGCCACCCACGGTGGCCGTTAACGTAGATACTTTATTTTTTATGATACTCAAAAAGCAAAATCTTAGAGACAGGAAATGTATGGACTATAATTCGCATTGGGTACTCGCTTCCGCTATTGTGAGATTATGTTTCAATTGGAAAAAAATATGCGATATAATAGACAACGAGTCTAACGGTCAGGCTGTACTTCATGTTTTTTGTAAACACTTTTTCTTATAAAATGTCGATTGTGATTTCAATCGTTTCAATACGTTAACAAAACACAGGAAACGAAGCGAGAAAAGAGGGAAACGGATTGGGTGTTCCCATGTCTATTAAGGAATTTCTGATGATTATCTCAAGCGAAATACCACTGAGCTTCACTGTCTTAAAGAAAAATGGTTTGAAGTTATTTTGATAGAACTTCCCTCGCGAAGTAGACTTTTAGGTAAATATGATTCATTTAACACATATTTGAGGTAACGTCATCAAAATTTTGATGAAGATGGATAGAGAAAGTTTGATTAACGATATGTCAAGCTGACGATAACCTTAATACACGGCTTTGATTTTTTTTTCAAAAATTAGAAAATGCAGGGTTAAAAATGGGTACATTATGTAAATTATTATTATAGGTGTAGGCGCAACATTCTTTAATAAATTTCTTAAAAAGGAAAAAACTAGTCAAAACAAGATTCTTACAAAAATACAATAGGGGCCTTCAATATTCTTTTAAATTTTTTCAAAACAGACACCAAAAAATGTAAAACTATAAATTACTTTCAGTTAAAATCCGGGTCTTCTTATATTACAATACGTACAATGATTTTGACAGATTTAGATGATGACGATGCCTGTATCAAACAATTGAAAGTATCTTGAACACTTACGGTGTGTAGTGCGTAGTTGTAGTGGCGGTTATTTGCCGAGTTCTAACTTCCGCCGACATCTGTTTATTACAAAGCAGCATTTTATAATACTGTCACAATAGTAGATTGTTTTATTAGGATTAAAAGTGCCATTTTTTGCGACGAGCAAATTTTGCATTTGCGAGGCGGAGCGAAGCGAAGCCGAGCGGATGCAAAATTGCGAGTCAAAAACTGACTTTTAATCCGAATGAAACATACTACTTTTTCGCCAGCCAAAAAGTAAATCTCAAAAATACAAAATATTGATAACAATAATATCGAGCAGAAATGAATCAATCTGCAAAGTAGTCTGGTATCCACGTCGTCAAGGCTTTTTTTGTTTGCTTACATACCATTGTTTTGAGAAAACGTTTGCAGTGTTAATAATGAATCCTGAAGAAGAGTTACCTCCCGATGTGCTAGAAGAAGCACAAAACGTGGTACTGAACTTGTTACCAACAAAATCGCGCGAAGTGTATGAGTGCGCGTATACCCGCTTCATCAAATGGTGCGAAGGGAAAAAGATTCAAACTTATTCTGAGAACGTCCTATTGGTATATTTTTCCGAATTGGCTACAAAAATGAAGTCATCCACACTGTGGTCGCAGTATTCCATGGTGAAAGCAACTTTAAATATAAAAAATGGCATAGAAATCGGAAAGTATTCAAAATTAAAAGCGTTTATAAAGAAACAAGGAGAAGGATACGTTCCAAAGAAATCAAGGGTTTTAACTAATGAACAAATAGAAGTTTTCTTAGACACGGCTCCGGATTTCAAATTCCTGATGATGAAAGTATGTTTATAACCTAATGAAGAGCTTATATTTATTTTACGAATTTTTTTCAGATTGTTGTAATCTTTGGCGTTAGCGGAGCTTGTCGGTGTCACGAACTATTACAAATAAAAACTGAAGATATTGAAAATATTAAAGCAGGTTTATTGGTAAAAATTCCTGATACCAAAACGAAAAAACCCAGATCATTTACGGTTATGGGGGAAAAGTATTTGAAATTTTACGAAAAGTATGTTGCGCTTCGTCCAAAAATGTTTAATGAAGGTCGGTTTTTTATTAAATATGTCGACGGAATGTGCCATCGACAAGTAGTTGGCATTCATAAAATTAGTGGTGTACCCCAAGAAGTAGCCAAATATTTAAAGCTAGAAAACTTTAAAGAATCCAGCGGACATTGCCTACGTCGGACTTCTGCCACGCTTTTTGTGGATTCTGGCGGTGATATTACGTCCCTCAAGAGGCACGGTGGGTGGAAATCTGACAGTGTAGCCGAAGGTTACATAGAAGAGTCTCTTAAACACAAAAAAGATGTAGCAAAAAAAATTTTTCGTTTGGAAGAACCAGGTACAAGTAGTGAAACCACAAGTAAAATACATGAAGACGCAACGAATAGGAATGTGAGCGAGTAAACCTAGAAGAATCAGGTACAAGTAGTGGAACTACGAATAGAATGATCACACGTGAAGACGGAATAAGTAGGAATGTGGGAGCAGTAAACCTGAATTTTGACACTGTGACCAACCAGACAGCAGGAGCGGTAGAAGTGTTAGCGCAAAATATTATTACTGACCGCATGAAAAATGATAATAGTGACGGAAAATCTTTAATCCAAATCAATCGCAGTTGTTCTTATTGTACATTCAATATTAATTTTAAAATTTAAATAATTAATAACAATGTAAGTTAATAATAAAATTGGAAAATATTAATAGCATTTCATTCTCAAAATAAAACAATTGAAAACTTTTTAAGGCTAGGATTAAAAAAAAAAAATTAATGCTAGGATTAAAAAGGCAAAAATGACGTTGTTACTTTAGTAACGCAACTTTTTTTTACTCTCACAAAAACGTCAAGTTTTCCGTCCAAAATTGACGTTAAAAGTGACATCTTTTAAGACGGCTGGCGAAAAAATTGCTTATTTGCATATATTTGCCTTCTGTTGCATATTTCACGTAACAGGTGCATATTTTGCATTTTTATCAATTTTTGTGCTAATTTGAAAAAAAATTATTGTCATCTATCGGCATTTGTCTAGAATCACGAAATTTGATTAAACTTTCTATTGCAAATATTGTCCTGAGCTTCAAATAACTAGGAAAGGTTTGGGTTTTATGATAGTTTGGAGGTAAAATCGGGCCCTAATTACTCTTGGAAATACCGTTGATTCCCAATATTTTTGTTCGTTACTTAAGTGTATTAATGGTATATTTTATTATGGTCGAAGGGCCGTTATCCTATTATTTTTCATCGTAAGTTTGCATTGAAAGCATTTAAAGCGATCCACGTGTGTCAATATGTCGAAGATAACTCAAATTAATTTATGGATTAAACCTTTTCCTGAACTTATTCTTCAAGAAGGAACTGTGTTTTTTCGCGCCTGCTCTAAACCGGTAAGTATTTTTACATCTGCGGACGTAGTACGCAGTTTTTCTATTAACAAATAATACTTTAGAATCACCCGAAAAATTTTTTGTTAGTATATTTCGAAAAATATTTAAAAATAAATTGTTACCAAAATAGTAATTAAATAGTCGATTACTACCATTTTTTAATTTGTTCTGTTTATTTTTATTTTTTAGTATAAGAATAGTATCCATAAAAATGTGATTTATGTGTTAGTGAGATGTAATTAAACACTTTGCAATGTGATTTTTGTATTTTTTGTAATAAAACGTAAGCTCGGGAAACCTGTTTTTGTAATTTGTAAATAAATTTAGTTCGGTTATTACGCTTTTTTTTTAATTTTTGGAGCATATGCAACTGCATATTTCTGCATAATATGCATAAATTTTATGCATATCATATGATCATATTTCCCAAAATTTTGCTGCATATTTTCCGCTCTCTATATCAACCTGACTTAGTGAGATATCGAATAAACTGACGAATATTGACAATTCGAAAATAAAACAAGACGAAACCTCGGAATGAAGTATATAAAAATTATCTTCTATTTATCTTCTATCTATTTTAACTTTGGAACTTTTAAATACTTCGACTTTTAATTTTTTTAATTTTTCGACTTTTCGTGTTTTTGATTTTTTACTTATCCGATTTTTTAGTTTTTCGATTTGTTGTTTTAATTGCTCGATTTTTAAAATTTTCAGTTTTTAGAGTTTTTAAGTTTTAGATTTTTCACTTTTTTGTTGTTTCGGTTTGATCTCAATCTTCCGATTTTTTGCCTTCCCGTTTTTAGATTTTTCGATTTTTAAATTTTCAGGAATTAATTTTTCAGTTGTTTTTTAGCAATTTATTTCGATATCTCAATTTTTCGATTTTTCGACTTTTATCGGTCTTTTGATGTTTCGATTTCGCGTTTTTTCAATTTTTCCATTTCCATTTCTCGATTTCTCAGTTTTTCCATTATTCGTCTTTTCGATTATTCGAGTTTCCAATTTTTCGATTTTTCAATTTTTCAATTTTTGGCGTTTCTAAATTTTTGAATTTTTCGTTCTCAGTTTCTCGATTAACCGATTTTTTAATTTTCCGATTTTTCGATTTCTTAATTTTTCGATTTCTCTGTTTAAGTTTTGGGTTTTCTCTTTTAAACCCAAAAAATTGGTCTAAAGTTATTTAGACATATCTTACCTCGCCTCTGAAGTAAAAATATATTATTAGTATATGCTTAACTTTAATAGTTTATGTTTATACATAGAAAGAATCGACAATTAAGCACGCAGCAAATTGTCTCCTCAAAACAGAGGAAGCGATTAATAGTATTTAACATTACTAGCACCGTAAAACGGTTTTTACTGGCGGACAGAAGGAGTCACCTTCTGGAGCCAGTAAAACCCGTTACCTTGCGTGTAGTGTTGAATATTTTATTTGTTTCTCACTTGTAAATAGCTATTATAAACTATTAGAAACTCCAGAAGGTCCGATATTTGAAAAAAACATCGTATGAGCTTTAGACGTATTGCCTTGGTAACGCATGTCAGTATGGCACTTATTGTGTTGTCTAGTTCTGTCATTTAGATTTTTCGATTTATCGTTTTCGATGTATTGAAATGAGTGTGGCGCAAGCTATATTACTGAGGAAGCAGCAATTATGACTGAAAGTTTGCCTGAATCAACTTTGGCTGTCATTTCAACTTATAATAGTTTAAAACATATGGCTGTATGAGCACGGGCAGGGGTGCCAACTATTCAACAAATCTAAAAATCTAAAAAGGAGAAGGCAAAAATCGAAAGACTGAGAAATCGAAACAACAATAAAATGAAAAATCTAAAATTTAAAAATTCGAAAAATTGAAAATTTAAAAAATCGAGCAATCAGAACATCAACACATCGAAAAATCGAATACATATTGAAAAATCGAAATGTATATCGAAATGAGGAGACATTAGTTATTCTAACAAAGGACGGACGTAAAAGTTGTGTAACAAGATAACGACACGGAGATTGCTAAACTCGGAAGATTGTTTTTTGCTAAAACCAAGCGTTTTATTTACCAGCAACAATATATAATTGATGTGCTGATTAAAAGCTAATTACTGGTCGACAATAATATCAAGATCCTTACAAAATGCTAATTTGTTAAGTACACCTATAATTCCACTTTTGTTAATGTTTAATTTAAGGAAATCGGCCTTATACTATTCAACAAATCTATTTAAATAACTTGTAGTACTCTACCATCATGAATATTTTTGATGGACTAAAAAATCTTTAAATCATTGGCAAACAAAAGAAATTAGAGTTTATGAAAGCATTTTTTTCATCATTAATATACAAAGAAAATAGCATTGGTCCGAGATGTGAACCTTGAGGTATATCAGACCTAGGAAAAATTTTACGAGAGAAAAAGTGAGATATCTATCTTAGGACTGGCTGACCACATCCCAGCTTATCTAGTTTAGAAACTAAATGAGCTATTGAGACACGGCCAAAAGCCTTAAACATATCAGTGTAAATACGGTCTACTTCAAAACTCTCAAGATAAATGTAATCCATAAATGCAAAAAGATTAGTCTTTGTGGAGCGTCTTTTAGCAAATCCATGTTGTTCATCAGTTACAATTTTTGTGTAATAGCTTAATAGCTAAGGAAACGAGTATAAGACGAAATGGATACTGGTCTATAATTATGAACATCGGCAACATTTCCATTTTTGAAGATGGGTTTAACATAAGAAACTTTTCAAGTTTGTCGGGAGATTTCGTCTGATGTAAGGATGTTTCGAATATCATTTTAACATTCTTAACGGAAAATCTACTTGATTGGCACAATTTTTCAAGAAAATCCGAGGAATACCATCAGAACTAAAAGTACAATTATTCAGATATTGTAGTTTACATAGTATCGTGTCATAAGATATATGCATAACAGTGTTATAAGAGCCAGGGCTCTCAGCATTTTTAATTGATATTTTTACTATTTGGAGAGTACACAAAGTTTAAGTGAGAAACAAGCAAATCTGCAGGATCGTAGTAAGAATTGCTTACAATATCATCTAAGAATATTTCTTTAGGAAACAGTTGGATATTTGATTTAGATTAAACTTTTTATTTCATCAACTTAGACTTAACACAGGTCCTAAATATAAAGATAGTTACGTAGGTACATCAGAAAATTTAGTGAGACAATAGATTTCCAGCTAGCTGCTCTTATGTATAATTGTTTATGAGATCATGGTCTTAGTACCGGTATCCGTAGAAGACTTGCTTCAATGCCGGTCATTTTCGGGTTAATGGTGGACCTAAATAATAATATTTTTTTTTTAATTTTTATTCACTTTTTTCATTCGACACAATATTCTTATGAACTATACCTTCAAAATCTTTTATTCCTCCCAAGATTACGTTTGAAGGACGTTGTGAACTGTGCGTAAATGTTTAGTAGTTTTGAACATTAGCAATATTTTTTTTAGGATGAAAATAGAGCTTTTCATTTTTGCCGAGTTAGTAAAGTACATATAAATAATTCTTTCTTGTTATTCATTACGTTGAGAATTGCGAGTTTAAAATATTTTCGATTGATACCAATTATATCGTTAGGTAAAGTGCGTCATAGTAATAGTTTTTTCATAAAATTGTTTAAATTATTTTATACATGTTTTATATCTCATTTAATCTTCAGAATTATTAATTATAACGGATACAATTTTCTTTGTACTTAGGAAGCAAAAAAGTTCAATTATTTTTAATATCCCATGTTCTCCCTCTTTCTTAATTACGCAACTTTCAGATCCAGGCAGAGATAGCGCAAAAACATTTTCTTTTACAACGTTCAGTTTTAAAATAACTACATTTGTTTACTGCAAAACTAAAACAAGATTCGTATCCGGTCGACAATTTTCTACAGGAGACATTCTGCGGTATAAAATATTGAGATTGCTAGAAATCCTGTAATTTGTTGGTGATCTTATCTTGAGACAGATAAGATTTACAATTTTACACAAGGATAATCA